GAACTCAGCAGTTTTCTGTGGGGTCAAGAGGAATGCACACAGTTCATTTCAAAAATAGTCTAGGATTTAAGTAATGTGTGTATTTTCAATTAATAACCTCAATCACATTATCCTTGGGGCTAGTCCTTTAGTGGAATCCAAACAGTGGCAGCCTGAATATTTACTCTGATGTTCCACAGGACAAAATCAAGGACATTCAGAACAAAATGAGAGGCTAAAATCTCACACTTGATGATTTGTCAAGGAGCCAATCAGGATACCTTCAGAAAAAAAAAAAGAAGTAACAAAAGCAGAACCAAACCAATAAGAGAAAAAAACCCCCTCACACCTACCCCTAAAAACTTAAGTAATCTGATCTAAATATGGATCTAGAAGCTATTTACACAAATCAATACTTGTAATAATCATGACTCAGCAGGGATTTCCCATGTCTGGAAAACCATTTATCTGGGAGATCGTCTCATCTCCCGTAAGAGTCAGCCTGAGCAGCATATAGACTTGCTGCTCTTCCAGTTTAGATATTTTTACTGTTGTTGTTTTGACTGAGTCCTTTAATTTTACCCTGGACCACAAAGAAGTCAAAACTTGAAGGGCAATAAGATAACTAATCCAAATGAAAACAAAACAGATGGAACCAGATTTCTTAAGGAACATTATAATCACAAAGAGAGAGGACTAATAACAAAATCATACACAAGTATAAACTATCAGACACCAGAAGTTTAAAGTAGCTTTCTTTCAGTCTATAGACGGGTCATGAAAAATTCATGACTGAATCAAGATGAACAGGGATTATCTTTTGAATACATGCCAATATCTTAATTGTGCATTGCACAAGGCTTTTTTTTTCAGTCAGATGTTAGAGTTTTTAAGCCAACTTTTCTAAATTATTGTGGGGTGGAGATGAGGGAGGGATGGAAGAGATATTTTGAATCTCTCCTCCAAATCCACTTCTAGAAAACTTTACCTTTTTTAAAAATTTTGGGCTTAAGTCTTCTTCAGTGTAAACACATAAAAAAAAAACCAAACCACACATAGAAAGACCAAAATCTTGAGAGACAGACTCTGAGTTTTTGAAATGAAAAAAGTTTCAAAGTAATAAAGCTCAAATGTTTAATTTGTGCATGAGATTTCCTTCCATCTATCTCCACTGGGATGTAGTTAGTAAGAATGGGATGTGTCCAGTATACCATCAGGGGACTAAGCCATCTGCGTATGTTTTTAAGAGAATTTTGGAATTCTTATGGATGAAATATAACATCATGCCTGAAAATTAGTGACAGGTTATGAATATTTCAAAGATAATCATGCACATTTTTCTGTCCATAAACTGTAATTTTGCATCTTAAGGTTGATTATCTTTCCTTTTGATGAAAAGCACATTTTGACTGTGAAGATACATCTATAATGGTGTGTGCCATTGCACCGCCACAAAATGTGTACCTCGGAGAAATGAATGCTAATGCTGTGACATTTAGAACTATTTTCACGAACCATTTAAAAATCAAAATTTTAGACTAATAAGTTCTGATGGTCAATATAATCACAAATGAGTATAAAGTCTCTTTTTTAAAAAAACCTCAAGAAAGTTTGAGGCCAAGGTCCATTTCTGGAAGTTGCTTTACTCAGTGTTTATGAAAATTCCAAAAAATATACATACGTAAAAGAACAACAGATTCTTCCTTGCTAAACATTCCTACCCATACTTTTTGATGTTACCTTTGACAGTATTGTACAAAGTCCAAAAAGATACAGTGCAACCTAACAGCTCCCTGCTGCAGAGAATTTGATGTAATTTTACTGGACAAATGTTAAACCAAATACTGAGGATGAGAACTGCACAAAAAGAAAGTCTTCCAGTAGCAATTTTTTTTATTTATTTATTAACTCAGCTACTGTACAGCCTATGATGACTTGTTTTCCTTTAGTTATATGAACAGTTTGACAGATTACTGTGACAAGGTTACTCTTAAATTGATAAAAGGTTTGATAGTGTCAGAACATTTGTCAGAAATGTCTGACATCACGTGTAATGGACTCTGCACTTCAAGCATCAATGGTACGCCAGTCGGCTGTTTCCTGTTTAGTGTGCGGCACACACCACCCAACACCACACAGCAGAAATACAGAAAAGCAGGCAAGATTCACCCAAACAGCCAGGTAATTTATCAAACAATCCTGATTAAAGGGCTTCTTTCCCACCTGGCAAAATGTAATTAAATAAAAAAATAAAAATGTAACATGTCACTTAGGGGGTGATCTCTTTGCTGGAATAAACCTGGAAATGGGATGGTCTATGATAAATGTACATAACCATAAGCACTGCCAGCATTCCCTGTACTTTTGAGAGAGAAATATTGTAGGTTTAGAACATTTTTCCTCAGACTTGCCAAATATCAGACACTACAAGTGACGGTTGTACTGCTGGCAGCCGTGTCACATGCTAGAGCAGAGGAAATGGGCTCAGAAGGGCTCATTTTAGGCACTGGCAGGTAGCCCAGGGGAACCAGTGTCGTGGGTATAAGCTAGCGTTGGTGAATACCTCCCTTAAACACAACTCTCCAAAAATCTTGTACTGCAACATAATAATGTGGTTCATGGATCGGAATTCAGGTTTTCACCTCACATCTTGTAGCAAATTACTCTAACACTTCTACACAGGAGGCCTAAGAGCCAGCACTTTCTGCTGGTTTGTGAATACCTGTTCACACAAAGTCTTTAACAGACAGTGAGACTCCAGCCATGTAAGCTAAGAGGGCAGTCTAAAGAAGAAAAACATTTCTGAAGAGATAAATGTATGTCTTGCTTACATAGCAGCAGATTGCTGTTGTACATACTGCTTTTTTTCCTCTTTTTTTTTTTTGAGGGGGGAAGCGGAATGGAGGTAAAGTGATAAGAGACTTGGACTTTTAACTCTCTCTGCTAAGTAACTATCTTCAAAAGTAAAGAAAAGATCTTGCGATATATTACTTTAAAAACTCACACACTGTCACAACAAATTCTTGTCTTTTCAGATGTTTAAGTTTCCCTGTATCATCTTTCCCTTCTGCTTTGATAAATATTTTTAATATTCTGAAAAAAAAGACAGAGCAACTATCTGGTTGCTCCTCACTTCCATTCAGCCAAGGGATAGGAAAAAAAAAAATCAGCGAAATGAATGTCAGCATTTTTCTTAAAGAGCTTCTATTCACAGAGGAACTCCACGACAGCAAGACAAAGCCCTCTAATCAGAGACCAGATTAAGTTTAGTGGAGCACATTAAAAATTTTGCCACAGTGACAAAAGGAAGCTCTCAGATACTTGATGTGCACTTGCCAGACAGAGACAGGGGGTAGGGACGTGTTCTTGGAACTTCATCATTCAAGTAGCACTGCTGATCCCACAGCCTCACACCACCACTGCAGCACTAAGCACCAAAGGCACGAGGCTGCTCTAGGAATAGCTGGTTCATTCCTGATCGGCTGAAAGCATTTGTTTGAACTTGGGAAGGGTCAGACAGCAGAAAGATGTATTGCACAATAGCTTTGTGAGCGTCGGCAGCCTACAGTCAATTCATTCTGAGAATCTGGCCCTTGAACTGGGATTATCTGTGACTGTCACAAGTGGGAAGTGTCAATGAGTGTAGTTTGTACAGGTGTCAGACAGGTACACTCGCAATTCAGCTCGCATGAAATATGAAAAATCACCAGCAAGCCTGTGAACAGTGAGCCAGTTCTACCGGTAGCAGCTTTAGTATGAGAAAGTCACAGGGAAGAGTTTCAAGCTGACAGTTTTGCTGAAGTTCAGATATCATTTCAGTAAGACTGCTAGTTCCAGTCCTGGCCAGCCATATCCACATAAAGTATGCTTCAGGAAGTCTTCCAGTATTTTGGTCAAAACCAGAGTGATACAGAATTGTAACATCCCATTGAATTGATGCTCCTATCGCAAGCTTCAAAATGCCAGCTTTTTGGATTCAAGTCAGTAGATCAGCCCCAGACTGCTCCTTACTTTACCAAACTTCATTTATTGATTCGTGTTTGAAAAGTTGATCTGTGACGAAAAATATCAGAGACACTTTGTCTTTTGAAATAGGCTATTCCAAGGCAAGAGCGCTGCAGTTCTGCATCATAAAAAGGGTGAATTTTTATTTTTGAAATCTCTTTGTGTTTTTATCTCAACACACAAAAAAAAGGTGTTATCCTAAATTCAACTCAGGTGATCTCTGGTTGGAATCTCAAACTCAATTATTCCCTTCCCACATGCCATCAATAATAATAATAACTTTGGAAATCCAGTCAAGTTATCCTTTCTGCTCATGTTACCCACTACATAGAGCAGAGTGAGGAGAGGTAACACGGTGCAACATTTCAGGAAACAGTTCTTTTGATGATGCATGAGGAGCAAAGAGCTCCTTTCTACTGCCTCTCCAGTTACAACAGGAATAAAACACAACAAAACTGATATTTATCATTACAATCTGCAAACATGGCTTTCAAGATAAACAAGGAGGTAGAAGGTGCTACTTTCTACATCATCATTTCTCAGTGGAACTGCAGTCAGTTAGATGGCTACAAGGCCACCTTCAGTGAGCTTCATACTTCTCAATCTTTGAGCCCAGCAATGTGTAACATGGCAATCAAAAGATGTGATCAAGGACTGAGGTAGGAACACCCATGTCCTGTTGCTCGGTTGTAATTCACAGATCATTGTAACTATAAAATCTGTCATTAGGGAGGTTTTCTTGCCATGCCAATTCATCTTTTAACATAAGAGAGAAACCAGATAAAAATAAACAGAAGTCAATGGGATGGCCCTTACCTCACTATTCCCCAACACTCATTACCAGAAGGTTTTCAATAGGCATTAACTAGCTGTTCAAACTAAAGGAATAAAGATTATCCTTCAAGCCCAGGAGTCTTACAATGTCTTTTTCTGGACGATACGTATTAAGTGTAAACTGAAAGGCCAGCTTTGACATTTTCCTACCCGAAGACACCAAGTATTTTAAGCGCACTTACGGCTGGCACAGCTTGATAAGGTCCTGGTCAGTGGTGCCGGGTGGAAGGCCTCGAATGTACAGGTTGGTTTTACTCAACTGCTCTCCGCTGCTGTTGTTGCTGCTGTTGTTGCTGCTGTTTGTGCTGGGGCTGGGAGGAGCCATGGGGTGGGGAGCTGGTGCATAGGACTGCTGGAAACAAAGCAAAACGAAAAGGCTGTTACTGGAAAACAAAAGCATAGATGATTCACTGCTTCATTCAGGTAACTCCAGACCTACGACCTGAGGGCATGCTGCTTCCCCTGCCCTCCCTGATCACCTCCCACCCAGTTTGAGCCAGCAATGCCTTTCAAAGTGCAAAAAGTGGGTGAGATACTGCGTTTAAGCATGGCTATGAAGTGCATTGTTTTACTTTATTGTCTTTAAATCTGGATATAAAGTAGCTAGGTTATGAGCCTATTTTATCTAGATCCAGGAAAAAAGCTCTGAAATGACAGATACTCAGGAGTAACTGGTATTAAAGAAAGAAGTTGAACGCAATCTGCTTTAAAAATACTCTAAGACACAAGAGTATCTAGCCAAAGGTATGGAAGCTGATGCCAGAAGCCTAGTTTGTCTCTTCTAAATGCAAGGAGCACCCAGTGCATACACAGAGAGTTGGCTAGACTGAAAGGGGGAAAAAAAACCAAAGCAGCCTAAAAAAAACTGTCATGGGCATCTTTCACAATAGACAAACAGGGCTTGGAAGAGACGATCAGGTTAAGACCTCCTGCTCTCAAAATCTTACCTACTTTTGAACAACCACAAGCCACACACAACTGAGAAACAACACTTTAAAAGGGAGCCATTCTCACAGAGAAAACAACACTCCCCTAACTCCCTGGTAAATAAATGCTACAAGAGAAGACACACACATGCTATAAAAATTATAGAATTACAGAATTTCAACCCTGACAATTCTATGATTCTATACCTCAGCACCTCCAATCTGAGGCAACAACAGCAAACTTAAGCTGCTGCAACCATTCGTGGCTCTCCAAGTAGCAGCACATTTACTCACAGCACAGTGCTTGTCAGGAGAACAGAGTAGGGGTTGGAAGGAGGACATAATGTCCTGTCACCGCTGTAATCGATGCAAAAAAGTGGAGATAGAGAAGTTGAGGGAGCTGGGGGATGCTGTGGGCTAAGCCTCTGGCTGGGCAGCCAGGGGAGCTGGAACATAGCCGCGTGCCGAGAGGAGGAAATTCGGTTTCTGCAAGCTGATCAGCATATTCTGCTAGCAGTACGCCTGGTTACAACAGCAGGTAAACGTCAGGCCAACGCTAAGTTAACCACGACGTGCTAATGGACTAATAAAAGCAAAACATGCGATTTTCATTATAGTAGCAATGACACCTACGTGACTTCTAATATGGTCATTCTGCATTTAGGCCTCGAACAGAGAAAATATTTAACTCTGTGAGTAATTCTGATCACGCTAATAAACTGCCCCTTTCATTTCAGTGGTCCTACTTGAGTGCTTGTAATTATGCACACAATAATCAGAGCCTTGGTAGAGGGATTATATATTATAATACATATTATATTAGTAGCTATAAACTCTTTCAAACAAGTCCCTTTACTTAGAATAACCAAAAAAAACCTAAAGAACATAAGGGCAATAGGTGGAGCTCAGCAGCTTTCCTGAAATACCTAAAGCACCACACTTGCAGCAATGCCTTTCCTGCTGTCTTCTCCTTCCTTCTTCTCAGTTTCTCCCATTTAAACCAGGAAAGCGCGAACACACCATCAAGTATCAGTACATCAGAATTCCTCTGCAATCTAGCCTGGTTTTACTGTGACTTAAGTAGGACCCATTAAAAGAAAAAACAAAAAAAACAAAAAAAACAACAACCAGTTTAATTGACCGTGCAGTCGCCACGCTAGAAAGTAATGACACTCTGATCTACAGTAGAAGAGAAAGGGCAATGATCTTCCTTCCCCAAGTATCTGTGTAGATACTTTTGCTGACAATCAAAAGCACTTAATGCACACGGATCGTACTTCTCTGCACACGCATTTTAGCACTGGGTAATCCCCACCCGCCTGAGCTTCAATGTCATTCCCAGAAATAGAGAGCTGAAGCAGCAGCCCTGAGTACCAGCACGAGGAACCACCTCGACTGAGCCCCAGCGCCACAGGCACATCTTGGAAATCTGCTCCACACCACAGCCAAGTCGTGGCTGATTAAAACTGCCGGCAACAAATACACAGACAGTAACCTCTAACAAACACACAGACAGATGCATCTGTCTGAAAACATATTTAAATCTCTAGGCACTCCAGGGCCATGGCAGAGGTAGATGTGACTGCATATAGCACATTTGGCTAAGGTAACATACTTACTGCTTTACTCCATGCCTCCAAATTTACCAGACGCACTGATTGCACGTAAATGATGTAAAGCAAGGACAGAATTCTCCGTAAGCCAATAAAGTGCTATGTACTTTAATTATTAATTATTATTATTATATATGTCTTAGCAGGGGATAACAAGTAAATGGTCTACTCTCACACCAATCTAATAAGCAAGGAAAAAAGCAAGTAGAAATATACCTTTGAAATACAAAGAGCAATTTTCATTCTATTATAAGATCTTTATCCTCACAAAGGAAAACACTAGGGGCCTAATTCTAATTTAAGCTTAAGACATTTTATCCCTCTTGGCCAGCTAAAAGGGGACCTAGAAGTGAACATGCATTACATTTACACTGATTTTAAGGCCACAGCTATGAAATAAAAAGTCCTCCGTCTACCCAAAGAATTAGTCCATGACATAAGTGGTCTCTCAAGCAAGAGCTGCTCAGACAACAGGCACACGCAGATGTGCAGGGTCACAGCAGCATCTGGAGACATGCTTTAGGGGTGGGCAGAGAGGCAGCCGAACTCTGTTTTGGAGAATTCTGATCTTCTCAGGCCAGCAAGCAGTGCTACACTGCAAACTGTCTAACTAACAAATCTTGGCCATTGCAGCCCACAGCAATTTCCATGCGTATCCAATAGCCCAGAATACCTTCCACAGAAGGATTACCACACTGCCTGTACTAGGGCCGATGACATCTTTTGGCCAGTTGCCAGTCTAAAAGCTTCAGGTCAGAAGAAAGCTTTAAATTCTTTTTCCCTGAGCCAGTGAATGTATGACTGATGGCAGAAGCATGCATTTTGCCTCCAAATGAGTAAAGGCTCTGGTTTGTTAATCTCCACATAATAACCAGAGTGAAAGAAATGAATGGCAACCTGATGATGATCCCAGATATGGACTACTTGCTAAAGGACCCCGTACAATGCCAGCGGTGGGCACTGCCTGGGGAGCTGCCTGGGCACCCAATGGCAGAAAATGTGTGCCTTGTTCCAACATCGGCCCCCTCTGCAGCCGGGGGCAAAGCACTTAACTTGTCTGCCACAAGAGCCACAATGAGAGCACCTCTTTCCGGACCTGCTCAAAACAGCCCGACACCAGCTGTAGAAATCTGCAAAAGACATTCTGCCAACATAGCAGAGAACAGGACCTGCAGTGCTAGAAAAAAAAAAGTGTTAGACAAAATCTACACTTTTTACTTCAAAAGGAAGCCGGAATTTAGAGTTGGCTTTGCTGTTAAATTTTCAAATAACCAGTGCAACCAACTAATGTTCCAATTCTTATGCTTCATTATTCAATGAGGAGTGTGGGGTTTGTAGATCATTCCAAGAAGCTTATTAATTTAGCATAGTTGGCTAATAGGATTTGTTTTCATCTTTGAAAAATGAATAAAATTTCTCCTTTTTCATTATTTAAAAGTGAGAAATTAATGTGCTTAATACTTATCCAGTCTCAGGAATGCAACCTTCTGCTTAAGCCCTACCGTTGAGCTCTCTAAAACAAAGTGTCCCATGCAAGTGTGCAAAGCTAGGCATGAATAATGAGATACCTTGGTCTTTCTTACTCAATAATCCAGAAATGCTGAACCAGAAGCCTCTAGGTTACTAAATGAGCAACATTCCTCCTTCCAGCATCTAGCCTCCCTACACAAGAACGGTATTTATCTTCCCATGGCAACCACAGTGTTCTTATGTAGTTTTTCACTTGTTGCAAGTTTAGTCTAAAGCGTTTTTCTTCCAAAGCAAAACACTACTTAAAAAGACAAATTTCAAATATTTTTTCACATGGAATTCTTTTTGGATGGGAATCACAGACCCCAGATGCCAAGTTGTAGAGTCTGTTTATTAGCAGCAGCTGGCTCCTTGGCAGGCTTCTGAGGCAGTCCGGCTTGTGGTTTTGGAGTGGCCTCAGAGCCTAGGATGCAGCTGGACAGCTATGCTAATGGACTAGCCAATTTGTTTGTATTCACCTTTGGCTATTCCAGATTTGTACTCTTTTATCCACTTAAAAGTAAGGTCTTGGAAAGATTCCCCATTAACACCAGTACTTTGACTTTTCCATCATAGGGCATAATTCATATTAAAAAATGAGTATGACACACAGTCCTGCATTAAAACACACATTATTTAAGCAATTGTGAACATACACTATCCATTTCACTCTGAAGAGAATGTTTTCCAGCTGCTAGATTCATCTCACTTAGAGCCCAATTGCTACACAATTCCCTTAGCTCCTGATTGAGAGAATAAAATACGGCAAAGTAAATACAAATAAATTGTGCAAATATCAGTTTACAGCTCACACCAGCAAAACACCACCTACTTTACACCCTAGGACTAATTTCTGAGAGTCAAAGGGTTCTTTCTGGCCAATTATAGTAATGATGAAAGGATGCCACCAACTTACTGGAGTGTTGATGGGATTTTGGAGCTGATCGAATGACAAATTTCACATTAAGGGAATCATCAAAGTCAAAGAGAAAACAGAGGTAGGGCAAATATAATGAAATGAATGAGATAAACCCCACAGCAGCTCTTCTGCCTTTGGTTGGCTTCCTCAGTGAGGAGCAGCACCAAAAGGTAAGCTGTGTTTTTCATCCATAGCCAGGTGGAACAGAAAAGTGAGATTGAAACTGGCAACACAGAGACCTCCTGTATTTTAGAAAGGCTGCAGTCAAGGGAGCTTGAGTTATCATTTTCTTCCTGAGGTTGTAGGGCATTTGCTGGTCTTGCAGAATCCCACCATGATTATTGTCTAGCTCCCATTTAGCCAACAGAGGCCTGGAAGACAGA